CCAAAGCACGGGGGTCTGGGATGTGAGGAACAACAGGCACTGGAGATGACTCCACAGCTTTTGACCTGAGCAACGGGAAGTCAGGAGAAGAACTAATGTATGAATATAAAGTAGTCAGCAACAGATGCGGTGACATGAGAAATTCAGGGTGCAGAAAAGTCAGAATAGAAAGTGGCCAAGAGCGCACATGTGTGTGTGTACACACATTTATATGTGTGAGCATGCGTGTGCACGAGCATACATGTGTATGTCTGTTCGCTGTGTCCATTACCACAAACAGGAATCAAGTCGGTCTATCTCTGTGTTCTGATCCCAGACCCCACATGTGGTAAGCCCTCAGTCTGTTTATTTTATTTCTATTTTTATTTTTATTTCTGAGACGGAATCTCGCTGTGTCGCCAGGCTGGATTGCAGTAGCACGATCTCAGCTCACTGCAACCTCCGCCTTCTGGGTTCAAGCAATTCTCCTGCCTCAGACTCCCAAGTAGCTGGGACTACAGTTGTGTGCCACCACGCCCAGCTAATTTTTGTATTTTTAGTAGAAACAGGGTTTCACCATCTTGGCCAGGATGGTCTCGATCTCTTCACCTCGTGATCCACCCGACTTGGCCTCCCAAAGTGCTGAGATTTTGTCAATAAGCAAAATTTCTTCTGCCTTCTGTCCTACTATTTGTATTTCTTTTAATGCCTCATTACAATTTTTTTTCTTTTTTTTTCTTTTTTTTTTTGAGACAGAGTCTTGCCCTGTCACCCAGGCTGGAGTGCAGTGGCACAATCTCAGATCACTGCAACCTCCACCCACCGGGTTCAAGTGATTCTCCTACCTCAGCCTCCTAAGTAGCTGGTATTACGGGCCACATCACCATGCCTGGCTAATTTTTTTAATTTAGTAGAAGTGGGGTTTCACCATATTGGCCAGGCTGGTCTCGAACTCCTGACCTCAAGTGATCCAGCCACCTCAGCCTCCCAAAGTGCTGGGATGAGCCACTGCTCCCAGCCTCCTTACTACAATTTAAATTGCTTTTCTTTCTTTCTTTTTTTATTGTTTATTTGAAAGTTAACAGGAATGAAGGGCCTGATGGATTTTCACAAAGTGAACACAGCCGTGTAACCAGCACCTAGATGGAGATGCAGAATGCCTCCAGCACTCCCAGCCACCCCAGCCGCACCCTTGGGTGCCCTTTGCATTTCTAACCACCCCTCCACCAAGAGCGAGCACTCTCTGACTTCTAACAAACACAGATCAATCTTCTCTGCTTTTGTATTTTCTATCAATGGAAACATACAGTATGTACCTGTGTGTCTGGCTCCTTTTCCTCCACGTTAATTGTTGAGATTCATCTCTATTGTACGTAGTTGCAGGTTGTTCCTGCGTCGTATCCTGTTGTGTAAATATACTACAAATGATTTATGCATTCTACTTCTGAGGGGTTATTCCCAGTAAGGACCTGTTACAACGATTGTTGCTATGCAAATTCCTGGTCTTGTCTTTGGGTAACATAGGATCTGTTGGGATACACCTTGGAATTCCTAGATTTGCACTTTTTCAGCTTTAGTGCAATCAGCCAAATTCAATTTCCTGCATGGCTGTATCAGTCCGCATCCCCACCAGCAGCACAGAGACTTCCGGTTATTCCACCTCTTCTCCTGACTTGGTTTTCCCACCTTTAGGATCAGAGTCCTTCTGGTGGGTGTGCACCAGTGTGTCACGGCTGGTGTGGTTGGTTTCTAATCCTCTGGGCGGAGGTTCTCGGCACATTGGGATTACTGTCCACACAAGGCTCCCCTCTTGTTATTGTTGCTTATTTATGCCCCTTCGTATCCCCACACCCCTGCCTTTCCCCCTCCTCCAACATTAGGAATTCACTCTAAGGCTTTTATTGTGTAGACTGGTTTGTGTGTGTCATTGTCCCATGTATTAGTCAGGGTTCTCCTAGAGGGACAGAACTAATTGGATAGATAGATGACAGATAGATGATAGATAGATAGATAGATAGATAGATAGATAGATAGATAGATAGATAGATAGATAATAGATAGATAGATAGATGATAGATAAAGAGGAGTTTATTAAGTATTAACTTACATGATCACAAGGTTCCACAATAGGCTGTCTGCAAACTGAGGAGCAAGGAGAGCCAGTCCGGGTTCCAAACCTGAAAAACTTGGAGTCTGATGTTTGAGGGCAGGAAGCATCCAGCACGGGAGACAGATGTAGGCTGGGAGGCCAGGCCCGTTCCATCTCGTCATGTTTTACTGCCTGCTTTACATTCGCTGGCAGCTGATTAGATGGTGCCCACCTGACTGAGGTGACTGCCTTCCCCAGCCCACTGACTCAAGTGTTAATCTCCTTTGGCAACACCCTCACAGACACACCCAGGATCAATATTGCATCCTTCAATCAAGTCGACACTCAGTATTAACCATCACAACCCATGTGTGGGGTTTTCTTGTATGTGTACGTATATTTTTAATTACATAAATGATAATGTTGTACACGTAGCTCATGTATCATCCCGTGTTTTGCTTTCCTCGCCCAGTGCAGTGCTCTCAATATCCATCCCTGCTGCTGCAGGATCACATTCTGGGTCTCAGCCCAAGGCCACCCCTCTCCACTCTACACTGCGATGCTAGGAATGAGAACCTATAGTGACATTCAACATTCCCAGGCTCATTGTCTGCAGCTTCCTAAATCTTCTTTCTCTTTTTTAGAGACTGGATCTTACTATGTTGCCCGGGCTAGATTTGGACTCAAACTCCTGAGCTCAACCTCAGCATCTGGAATAGCAGGGATTTATAATGCACAGCACTGCGCCTGGCCTGTGTCTTTCTTGCTCTCCAACTTTGCATAGCCAGGATATTTCTGCATGCTCTTCTCTCTGTTTGTCACAGGTAGCATAGTTTCCCTTTTCTAACTGATTCGGTTACACTTCATAAACATCTAGTCCCCTGCATCCTAGATGCTGCGTCCACCATATGGATCTCCGCTTTGGTGGACAGCCAGGCCCCTCCGATTCCAGAGATGCCCCGGTGATCCATTTCTCTGATGACAAGTGAGGTTTAGCATCTCCTCGTGGGGGCATCAGTCTTTCCGTCTCTTTTCTGTGGCTTGCCAGTTTGTGTCTTTGTCTAGTACTGGGTAGGAGCTCCAACAAGCCGAAAGGCAGTGCGGGGATCTGAAGGGATAACTTCCCTCTGGCAGAGAGATGCGTCCACGTCCAGAGGTCCAGGAAGGGCTGTCTTGCAAAAGTGACCAGACATTTTTTCATCATCTTCACTGAGGCCAGACTTTACTGGGAATTGTTTAAACTGCTGCCTAAGGACGTGGATTAGGTCCCTGATGATGAAAGACAGGAAGACCCTGCAATTATTCCCAGGGAAAACGACAGACCTCCTTCCATGAGCCCCACTAGATCCTGAGGCCACGCAGCATGGCCAGGACAGGGCAGGCCATGAAAGTTAACCCAAAAAGGTTTCAGAGACCCTCCAGACACTCACATCCTGTGTTTACACCTGTCCCATTTCACTCAAACCTTTTATGTTCTCAGGACAGGCTGACTTCATAAAACCTGCCACTTGGTGACTTTGCTCTGTATGAGGAGTGGAAATGGCCAGGAAGGGCACTGGCCTGTCCTGAAAGATGGGCACACATGCTCTTTCTTCTGAGGCCATTTGTTTTGCAATTTCAGGGTAGAGGGACTTACTTGTGATTGTTCTGAAGTGTGGGATTTAAACAAACTGGGCAAGCAGAATGAGGCTCTGACCACAGGCAGTGCATGGAGTGTGGATTCTGTGCTCAGAGTTTGGCTCAGGGGCCTGCTACAGTAGCTGGCCACCTAGGTCCTCGAATCCCCATTCAAGGGACAGGACACTCAGCCCCAGGCCTACGGATGGCAGGGATGAGGTCAAGCAAGTGAACATGCTTGGTAGCGAGGAAGCCCTTTGCAGTTCGATTACTAGTATTGCTGTTTTTGTTGCTGTTGGAGGGGCAAGTACCAGAGGCTGGCTGGTCATGAAGGACAGAGCCTTGCAAGGGGCAAAGCTCCGGGTCTCAGGGGACGAGCTCCCGTTGCAGCCTCCTCTCTGGGCTGTCATTAGAGCCCAGCATCATGGGTGCCTAGAATTAGCTTTCAGTCTCCAGAGAGCTGCTGCTATTCCTGGTGGCATAGATCATACTGGCGTGTTACCTGTAGCCCACGGGCCATGAGCAGGCCTCCTCCGGGGCCTGAGCACATGCCTTCCCAACAGATGAAAGGCACCAAGCTCCTTGTCCCCATCCCTCCAGAGGCCACCTGGAAGTGGAAGCAAACAAGAGAGCAGGCAGTGGTCCCTATGGGAAAGGGGTGGTCTGAGGGCTACCTGGACCCTCTGACTTTTCTTTGTTGTCCGTGTCTCTTGGGAAACACAGAGGGTATCAGTTGCATGCAGAGGCATCTATTTGCTTAGCATGAGAACTTAAGGGAGGCTGAGTGTTGGGTCCCATAATGGGGAAGATGGAGACAGGGATACCATCAGTGCTGAGGGACCTGCTACCTGGAATCAGAGAGGACTATCTCCCTGCCATCTCTCCCTACTTGCCATCTCTCCCCTTGAGACCTAAGCCCCTACGGGCAGAAGGAGGCTAAAAGATAGGAAAAACCAAGGTGTTTCTCTTATTCTCACTACCACTCACCACTCATTTCTGACATTAGATGTGTGGGGGTTTTCCCTACACATCAACCAGTTCTCCAGTGGATGCCAGCTAGGAGTCCTATAACTCAATTCCATTTCGACACAAGCTGCCTGTAGTTAGCAGGCAGGTTGGGATATGTCGGGTCATATCCCACAGGTTAAGGGATCAATCCCACAAGATGGCCTCTTCCACTTTAGACACCAATGAAGCCTCAGGTTGTTCAACCTGTGCTTTTGACCCACTGGCTATACATCGGGTTCCCATGACCCTCCCCTTAAGTTTGTTTAATTTGCTACAGCAGCTCACAGATATCAAGGTAACACTTCACTTACATCTATCCATTTATTATAAAATATAGGAAAAAGGATACAGATTATGCAAGGATGTCTGAGGATGAAGAGATGCTTAGGGAGATGCATATGAGAGAAGGGGTACGGAACTTCCATGCCCTCTCCGGGAACACCATCCTCCAGGAATCTCCACGTGTTCAGCTAGCCAGAAACTCCCCAAACTCTGTTCTGTTGGGGTTTCATGGAGGCTTTATTATGTAGGCATGACTGATGACATCATCGGCCATTGGTGGTCAACTCAATCTTCAGCCCCTTTCCCCTCCCAGGAGGTCCCATTGGAGCTGAAAGTTCCAACCCTCTGACCACATGTTTGGTTCCCCTGGGAACCAGCCCCATCCTGAGGCTATTCAGGGGCCCCCAACCAGCAGTCATTTCACTGACGTACAAAAGACTCTTATCACTTTGGAGATTCCAAGTGTTTTATGAGCCATGTTCCAGGAAACAGATGAAGCCCAAATATATATTTCACAGAGTCACAGAGGCACAATCCTTTCCCCACTGAACGTGTTCTCAGTGATGTCTGCTGAATGAAGCAAGAGCAGAAAAACTGCTGCAGGGGAAATTTCCTGGAAAGAGAGAGCAAAGGCCCCTCATTCCAACTGTATGCTCAAACAGGAGAGTGAAATAATCCCTCCTGGAAATTATGCTCTATCTAACCCACAGATTCTTGAGTGACTGCAGGGATTCTGATGAGTGGCTGCCGGTTGGCTGGTTTTCTGGGCTTTGCCATTCTCCCCCTCTGGGTAGTGTGAGGTGGAAAGCACAACTGTAAACCAAGGTTGCCAGTCAGTGCTCATTTTTGGACAAAGGTCAGTTGTTCAGAAATTAGATTATTCCTGCCTCCTTTCTCAGCTGTTGGTGGCTCCCCTCCACCTGAACACAGGGAGTAGGGAAGTCATTTCAAGCCCAGTGATTCTGCAAATTGGAATGACTCTGACAGTAAAAGTTGTTTGTTCATGTGTCTGTGCATTTGCTTAATTCACATTTACCTTAAGAACATGTTCACCCTGTGAGCTCTGCAGAAATCCTGACTCTGGTGCAGAAGCCTCCACTAGGAAAATTTGGAAAATTTGATGCCCAGCATGAAAGGAAAGCCACCGAAGCCTATGATTTCTCAGGTCTCTTTCAAAGCTGATGTCCCAACAGTGTTGTCAACCTAAAATAATCAAAAGGTTCAAAATCCAGTTTGAAGAGAATTTACCCCAACAGTACAAAGTCGAGGACAGTCCACTTGGGAAGAATGTATTCTGAAGAATGGAATTCAGTGCTTCAAAGTGTAGTAGAAGTTTGGGATTGCTTCTATGAACAAAGCTTAAGGAAACTTAACAGAATTTCAACATCTTACTTTTTTTTTTTGAGATGGAGTCTCGCTCTGTCACCTAGGATGGAGTGCAGTGGCGCGATCTTGGCTCACTGCAACCTCCGCCTCCTGGGTTCAAGCAATTCTCCTGTCTGAGCCTCCCGAGTAGGTGGAATTACAGGTGTTTGCCACCACACCCAGCTAATTTTTGTGTGTGTGCATATTTTCAGTAGAGATGGGGTTTCACCATGTTGGCCAGGCTGGTCTCAAATTCCTGACCTCAAGTGATCCGCCCACCTCGGCTTCCCAAAGTGCTAGGATTACAGGTGTGAACCACTTGCACCTGGCCTAACATCTTTCAATGGAAGGCTTAATGCAGAGTTACAACAACCTGATGAGCCAAAGTGTTGATAGCAGTAGGAGGCAGACAAATTCCTAGGCAGACAGGGGCAGGTCCCCAGTGAAACCCGACCTTCAAACCATAGACAGCCTGAAGCCTGCAAACCAAGCAGCCAGCTCCAGGTAGAGTCCATGACCTGAGTGAGAAATTCCTTGATATTTTATAGCCAATCAAATGGTGCTTTTTCCAGGCCTGCTTATGGACCAGTCAGCACACATTCCCCCATTCTGAGTCCATGAAACCCCCGGACTCAGCTACATGTTGGGACTCCCCACCTTCAGATAGGGGTTACCCACTTCAGGTCCCCTCTCATGCCAAAAGCTGTTTTGTCACTCAATAAAACTCTTCTCTGCCTTCCTCACTCTCTGCTTGTCCATGTAACCTCATTCTTCTTGGACACAGGACAAGAACCCAGGACCCACCAAACAGTGAGCAAGAAAGGAGCTGTAACACTGTAGCCCTCCTGCCCTCTGCCAGTGCCAGGTGACCACCCCACGTGACAGGAAGCAGCAGTGGGGCCAGGCCAGCCCAGGAGCCACAGGCTGAAGTGGACTGGCAGGACCGAACAAGCTGTAACACAAATGAGCTGAAACATATTCCTGGCTGGCCCACTAAGTTGCAGGCGATGATGCACTCTCATTCACCAGACTACGAGAGAAGAGCTGTGACTCTCTGGGGGCCCAGATCTCGGGACTCCCTGAGTCAGAGCTGTGACCCACTGTAACACCCCCTTCGGGCTCCAGGGTTGCTGTGTCTCCGAGTTTCTGGGAGCCACTATGTTGCCCTCACCCAGATGCCAGCACCCAAGGTGGAAGCCATTCAAGGCACGCCTGGTCCAGCTGCAGCCTCACATGGAGCCCATGCCTGTGCTGGCACCTAGAGCTGCCCACTCCACCACGACAGCCAGCATGCCTGGCTGTGCACTGTGGCCGGACCCTCTGCTCACCGGCTCACACACCCTTTGCCGCTCTGCGCCTGGCTTGCCCGCAGAGGGTGAAGGACCTGGGACAGTAGCAAGAACTGAGCGCAGCCTGCCAGGCTAAGTGGGAGGAGCGAGGCCAGCGCCAAGCCGAGAGCCAAGTGAAGCCTAAGCAAAGGCACTGCCAGACAGAGGTTTCCAGCTGGCAAAGCAGCACCCAAAGAATCTCCAGTGCTTTTTTCTTTTCAGAAAAAGTATATTTACATTCCACACTGAAAATAGAACTGTCATCGAGATAGGAGTCTGCAAGTTTGAGAAAGGAGTTTGTGTCTTTGTTTCACAAGACGCAGGTCACAAAGACCCTGCTGATGTGGCAGAGAAGCAGGTCCAAACCAGCTAGAAACAAGATAGCTACGAAAGCAACCTCTGCTTGTCCTCCTGGCTCATTATATGCTAATTATATAGTGCATTAGCATGCTAAAAGACACTCCACCAACGCCATGACAGTTAACAGATGCCATGGTAACTTCCAGAAATTACCCTATATGGTCCAAAAAGAGGAGGAATCCCTGGTTTTGAGAATTCACCACCACTTTCCAGAAAACTCATCAATAATCCACACTTTGTTTAGCATATGATCAAGCAATAACCATAAAAATAGCCAACCAGCAGCCATGAGGGTTGCCTATGAAGTAATCGCCCTTCTATTCGTTCACTTTCTTAATAAACTTGCTCTCACTGTCTCTGTCAGCTCACTCTTGAATTCTTTCCTGTGCAAAGCCAAAAACCCGACGTGACCTCCTGGGCTAAGCCCCAGTTTCAGGGTTTACCCTGCAACATCATCAAGTCTTGAGCACCATCTGGTCTGAGTTAGGTACAGGACAATAAATGAAGCAGTTCAATCTATAACAAAGATCAGTGATTGGAAGGTGGGTGGATCTGGTATCTGGTCTCTCCTAGTCAATTCTAGGACAAGAACAGTGAGTAAGAGAGTTAAGCGATAAGAAGAAGCAGAATTGCAAACAACGTGCTACGTGACTCAGTCTCCAGGGCTTAACTTCTCCCATGGCATAAAAATTTGTAGGGTCCTGAAATTTTATTTTCTTTTACAATGTCCAGGGAGAGGCCGGAAAAAGAGGAGCCTCATTCAGGTGAGATATGTAAACGAGACGGCAACCTGCCAAATACACTTGTTGTAATTAGTATTGGTTGCCGCAATGTTGTTATATTCAGGGCTGTGCAATACAGAGAAATATTCCTAAATGATTTCCTTCAGTGCAGATAGATAATTCTTGGTTCAACTCCAGCAGATGGTTATTATCAACGTAAATAAATAAATCATTCTCTGCCAAAGGCATCAGATTTCCTCTCCGGGAAGTGGTCATTGAGGTCTTCTTTAAAGGGCCATGTCTGGGTGCGGTGGCTCAAGTCTGTAATCTCAGCACTTTGGGAGGCCAAGATGGGCAGATCACTTGAGGTCAGGAGTTTGAGACCAGCCTGGCCAATGTGGTGAAACCCCGTCTCTACTAAAAAGACAAAAATTAGCTGCTGTGGTGGTGCACACCTGTAGTCCCAGCTACTCAAGAGGCTGAGGCAGGAGAACCGCTTGAACGTGGGAGGCGGAGGTTGCAGTGAGCCGAGATCTCGCCACTTCACTCCCGCCTGGGTGACAGAGAGAGACTCCATCTCAAAAACATAATGAAAATTAATAAAGAGCCATGGTGTCAGAATGGGGCAGCGGTCCTTACAGGTTCCTCCAGCCTCACTCTACCTTCTCCCTCTGAGCTTCATCCCTGCCTGAGGCCCTGACTCTACCACCTCATCATATACCATTATAACAATGAGTTTCATGTCAGCCCAGGCCCAGAAAGACAAGAACCAAATGCCTGTTGAATGAATGGATGAATTAATTAATTGATATCTAAAACCTTGTACTAATACATTTATCTGAAGATGATGATTTGTAACAAATAAAATCATGATAACACATACATAAGGAAAGAAGAATACAGATCATTACTTTTCTGTTTCAGAAAGTGAAAATAGAAAAGCAGAAAGAACATAGGAATGAAAAATGATGTCTCTTATGCCTTATCACTGCAAATGCTTACCCAAAAAAAACCATAAGGCTTTAATCTTGAGGATTTATTCCAGGTAAATACATCTGGAATAATATCAGATCTTTTACATGAAGTATAAAGGAGATACGATTTGTTATGTCCCTAGCCAGCCCTCTCTCTGTCACTCCACAGCTAGATTAGAAAAATGTTCTTTTGGCCGGGCGCGGTGGCTCAAGCCTGTAATCCCAGCACTTTGGGAGGCCGAGACGGGCGGATCACAAGGTCAGGAGATCGAGACCATCCTGGCTAACACGGTGAAACCCCGTCTCTACTAAAAATACAAAAAAAAAAAACTAGCCGGGCGAGGTGGCGGGCGCCTGTAGTCCCAGCTACTTGGGAGGCTGAGGCAGGAGAATGGCGTAAACCCGGGAGGCGGAGCTTGCAGTGAGCTGAGATCCAGCCACTGCACTCCAGCCTGGGCGACAGAGCAAGACTCTGTCTCAAAAAAAAAAAGAAAAATGTTATTTTTACCCTGTCGGACTCTCCACCTCCCCAACCCGCTAAAAAGAGCCTCTGGGTTAAGACCCAGCAGCAGATGTAGCACCAGGAGAAAAAAATAAAGCAATGCAGATTCAACAGACGTGCTGCAACATGCTATGTAGCAAGGAATTCAGAGACAAGGAGAAGGAGGGTGGGGAGCAGAGCCACATGGGCTGGGCCTCAGAAGGAGTGGATGGAAGACTCTGGAGGGCTATTTGGGGAGGAGAAGCAAGGGTTTTTTGTTGTTGTTTTTTGGGCTTTTTTGAGACAGAGTTTCGCTCGTCACCCAGGCTGGAGTGCAGTGGCACGATCTCAGCTCACTGCAACCTCCACTTCACAGGTTCAATCAATTCTCCTGCCTCCACCTCCTGAGTATCTGGGATTACAGGCGCACACCACCATGCCTGGCTAGCAAGGGGGGTTTTAGATGAGTAGCCTTGGGTTGTGAAGTGGATCTCCTCTTATTTTTCAAATGATGCAAGTAACAATTGGAGTTTGCTTTTTGCAATTATTATGGGATTCACTGAAGGCAAGACTGGGTCCCATGGGACATTAGATTATAGATGGGTTTTTCATGTGGTGTGGAAGGTTATTATCCAGGATTTTAGATCTAAGATTCCTAGCTAGCTGCACCCAGTTTAAAATCATCCTTTTAGGTCTTAGTCATGGGCAATTTTTCCGCCACTTCCTACCTCTGGTGTAAAGTGGTCAGATTCAATTGGGCACAATTTTTCTCATTCTCATACTCCAATGGCAAAGTCAGACAGATATTGTAAAAATAACTTTGAACTTGTCATTACAACTGTGGAGGTATTATAAAGGTTAAGAATGCATGTTTCACTAGGCGCAGTGGCTCACGCCTGTAATCCCCTCCCTTTGGGAGGCCAAGGCAGGCGGATCACAAGGTCAGGAGATCGAGACCATCCTGGCTAACACGGTGAAACCCCGTCTCTACTAAAAATACAAAAAATTAGCTGGCCATGGTGGCGGGCGCCTGTAGTCCCAGTTACTCAGGAGGCTGAGGCAGGAGCATGGCCTGAACCCAGGAGGTGGAGCTTGCAGTGAGCTGAGATTAAGCCACTGCACTCCAGCCGAGGCGACAGAGCAAGACTCCGTCTCAAAAAAAAAAAAAAGAAAAAAAAAAGAATGCATGTTTAAAGCAGAAAACTAGATTCACATGGCATTTTGTCAGTTCACTAAATTAAGTAAAATTTTAAAAGGAGTCTTCCTTGTAGAATTACAAACATAAAATTAACTTTTCTCAACAATCAGGCAAATAGGCAGTTTAAACACATGCATGTAATTTCACTCCCTAATAGAGCCGTTGAAATGACAGCAAAGGGATTTGTTTTTTAATGATGGGGAAAACAAAAGAGTAAACAAAACAAAAACATGTTTGGAAGCTGTAAAAGCGGAAGGGGAGTGGAGGCTGACTCCACAGACACACAAGCGTGATCTGGGCCAGAGCTGGAAAATGTGAGAACCAATTGGTTTATCCCAAGGAATCCTCAAATGCCTGGGGACAAGTGGCTCCAGAAGCCTCCTTGAAGTAGTAATACAGGCACCTGTAAGGAAGAGTGTGATGTGTTTACAAAGTGGTTTGATCTCCAGGCTCCCTCCCACCTCCACATGCTGAGTGATTGAACTCACCACCCCTGAAGTGTCAAACGGGCTCTCTTGGTTGAGAAATATGTGGCTGAAAGTAAGAGTGCCAGAGTGAAATCAGGGTAATTTCATGAAAAGCTGTGATCCTACCCAGGTCCCAGAACACTGAGCCTTTCATCCCTCTTCCTGATGGGAGACAAGAGGATGCTTTCTAGTAAATGTGACAAGCCAGAAACAGCAATCTTGCTAACAGAATGGTCGCGGCAGGATCACTCTATAGGGAAGCTCAGCGTTACCAAGCCCCACTGATGTTCTGCTAAGTCCCTCCCAAAGTAAACAGGAGAGAGAAGCAACAGGGGAAGGGGAAGCCACTTGGGGTGAACAGAAACTGTGCAGAAAGAAGACATTTCAAAAATATGGTTAATATCCTTAGAGAGGTGTGAGGAGATATTGCTTTCGTGGAACTAGAACAGAATGCTATGAAAGAAAGAGATAGGAAGGGAAGGAGGGAGAGAAGAGAGACAAAGAGAAACTGACTCAGACAACAAAGAACTCTTTATATGTATTAAAATCCTGATCACAGATAAAGGGCTTGAAGGCAAATTTGAAGAAATCTCTCAAAAAGTAGAACAAAAATCAAAAGAGATGGCAGATAGAAGAGAAAAATGTAAGAATGGTAGAGGTTCAATCTAGAAAGTCCAACATTCAAATACTAGGAACTGCAGAAAGACAAAGCCAACAAAACAGAAGACAGAAAATTAAGAAAAATAACTCTGAAACATTTTCCAGAAGAAAACTAGTGTGTTTCCAGCTTGAACAGCTCACAAGAGCCAACAGGCCCTAGGGTGAAAACAGAGGCTCGCTAAGTCATCACGAAAGTGTAGAACAACAGGCAAGGAGAATATTTGACAAGTTCCCAACAGAGAATAGACCACACTTGAGATGCAGCAGGGACCCCTCTTGGTGGCCTGCCACCCCCCACAAGCATGGAAATAAAGGAACATTTTGAGTTTCTTTAAGGGAAATTCCAGGCACCTACCTAGCCTTGAGAAGTAAATAAGCAACCTAGTGAACAAGAAGGTGAGGAGAGCCTCACACAATAGCCAAGGAAGTCAGAGCCACAGAATGTTCGGTTCCCTACAGAAACTAAAGATGACACCTTAACAATGTTCTTGAGTTGCTTTTCAGAAACCTGGACCATACCAAATGGAAAATGTCATCTACTGGTGCATAGACCTCAGAGAAGAGAAAATTGAGGACCGATCTGTGACCACTGTTCTCTATTCTAAATTTCTTCCTACTAATGGGCATGGAGGAAGTCACACCCACAGGCCAGAGTTCAAGATTGCTTTCTGCTGACCCCAAGATTTTAGACAAAGCTTAACCAATCACAAACTGGAAAATCTTTGAATCTACCTATGACCTACGAGCTTCCCTGCTTCAAGATGTCCCACCTTTTTAGGCCAAACCAATGTATAGCTTCCATGTATTCATGTATTACTTTGCATGTAAACTTTGCCTCCCACCTTTAAAAACCCTTACACGTAAGCCATCAAGTTTGGGTCTTAAGCCTGAGCTGCCTGATTCTTGTTGGCACTCTACAATAAATGCCTCACTTTCTCTCACTGCAATCACCATGTCAGTGTTTAGCTTTGCTGTGCTGGGTGGGGCAGACCCAGGTTCAGCTTGGTCACTGATGTAGTCTGGATGTGTGTCCCTTGCCAAATCTCATGTTGAATTGTAACTCCCATTGTTGGAGGTGGGGCTTGGTGGGTGGTGATTGGATTATGGGGGTGGATTTCTCATGAATGGTTTAGTGCCATTCTCTTGGTACTGTCCTAGCAATAGTGACTGAGTTCTTGCAAGATCTGGTAGTTTAAAAGTGTGTGGCGGGCCGGGCACGGTGGCTCACGCCTATAATCCCAGCACTTTGGGAGGCTGAGGTGGGCAAATCACCTGAGGTCAGGAGTTCGAGACCAGCCAGACCAATATGGAGAAACCCCATCTCTACTAAAAATACTAAAAAATTAGCTGGGTGTGGTGGCACTTGCCTGTAATCCCAGCTACTCAGGAGGCTGAGGTAGGAGGATTGCTTAAACTTGGGAGGCAGAGTTTGCTGTGATAGCAACACTACACTCCAGCCTGGGCAACAAAAGCAAAACTCTGTCTCAAACAAACAAACAAAAAAAAATGTGCGGCACCTTCCCCCTCCCTTTCTTGCTCCTGCTCTGGCCATGTAACATGCCTGCTCACCTTTCACCTTCTGCCATGATTTAAGATTCCTGAGGCCTCCCAAGAAGCTAAGCAAATGCCAGCATCATACTTCCTTTACAGCCTGCAGAACCATGAGCCAGTCTCAGATATCTATAGCAATGCAAGAATGGCCTAATACAGTAACCACTCACAGGGGCCAGGGGTCACAGTGTAGTTGGATCTCTCAACAATAACAAAGAAACAAAAAAAAACTATGGGGTAGTGCCTTCAAATCACTGAAGGAAAGTACTTCCAACCTAAATTCTGCACCTGCCACTCATCCAGTGAGTATATATAGAATGGAGGTTTTTCAGACTCTGGAGGATTCAGAGTTTGCCCCCTTTCACCCATCCTTAGGAAACTATTAGAGGATGTATTCCAACAAAACAAGGGTGGAAACCAAGAAACAGAATGATAGGAAAGAGAAACTCAATGCAGGAGAGAGCCATGCAGTAGCCTTGGGATCATTCCAAAGAGTGACATCGGGTTGACAGATACACCAGGCACATAGCTCCCCAGAACCTACAGAGATGTCGGGGGGCTTCAGCATAGGTTTCCTCAAGAAGATAGAAGAGACAGACCAATATATGTGAAGGGGTGGCCTGCCCCTCCACACCTGTGGGCGTTTCTCATTAGGTGGAACGAGAGACTTGAGAAAAGAAATGAGACACAGAGACAAAGTAGAGAGAAAGAAAAAGTGGGCCCAGGGGACCAGCACCGGTCTCTGAGTTCCCTCAGTATTTATAGATCATTCTTTACCATCTTAGAAAAGGGAAGTGGCAGGATAATAGGATCATCGTAAGGAGAAGGTCAGCAGTAAGACATATGAATAAAGATCTCCGTGACATAAGTTTAAGGAAAAGTGCTGTGCCTTGATATGCATATGTAAACATCTCCATAAACCTTTTTTGTGCATAAAGAGCAGCATTGCGCTAGCAAGTCCCACCTTTTGTCCTAAGGCGATTTTCTCCTTTCTCAGTAAACAGAACATACAATCAGGTTTTACACCGAGATATTCCATTGCCCAGGGACGGGCAGGAGACAGATGCTTTTCTCTATCTCCGCTGCCAAGAGACCTTCTTTTCTCTTATACTAATCCTCCTCAGCACAGACCCTTCACAGGTGTCAGGCTGGGGGACGATCAGGTCTTTCCCTTCCCACAAGGCCATATTTCAGACCATCACATGGGGAGAAACCTTGGACAATACCTAGCTTTCCTAGGCAGAGGTCCCCGCGACCTTTGGCAGTATACGTGTCCCTGGGTACTTGAGATTAAGACAATGGTGATGACTTTTCACCAGCAAGCTGCCTTCAGGCACTTGTTTAACAAAGCACACCCTGCACAGCCCAAAATCCGTTAAACCTTGAGTCACCACAGCACATGTCTCTTGCAAGGACAAAGTTGGGGGTAGGGTCACAGATTAACAGCATCTCAAATACAGAACAAAATGGAGTCTCTTATGTCTTCTTCTTTCTATATAGACACAGTAACAGTCTGATCTTTCTTTTCCCCACAATATGTGTCTGCGTATGTCAAGAGAAGACCTGGAGAGCCAGCGGAGGATTCAGGTTAAACTACTTATAGGCGCTGCCCTCGTCTGTTCAGGCTGCTATCACAAAATACCAAAGACGAGGCTGTTTATCATAATAGAAATTCATTGCTCACCATTCTGGAGGCTGGAAGTCCAAGGTCAAAATGCCAGTAGTTTCTGTGTCTCCTAAGGACCCACTTCTGGCTCACAGATGGCATCTGCTCACTGTGTCCTCATATATCGGAAGGGGTGACCTGAGGGTCTCTCTTAGGAGGACACTACTGTTTGGGTGAGGGAGAAGGGACAAGATGGAGGAAGGTGAACAAGAAGGCATAATCCATGTTGCTTCCGGGTTCTTCCTCACCAACTTTCCCGCGCGCGGGAAAATGCAGCCCGCCCCCGGAAGATGCAGATCAGCTGAGCATGCGCCAGGTGATGTCAATTCGAAGAGATTGAAACTTACCCGGCCACGCCTACGGAGACGCCTATCACGCCCTTATCCCGCCCACTGCCCTCCCCCTTCCAGTACCAATGCATAAAAGTCTGCTGCCGGCAGGAGCCAGTGTGACTTCTTCGACCCTCGCATTTGTGGGCCGGAGAACATGACCCGAGAGCGCCGGCGCGACTTCCCTGGCCCCGCACACCTGAGGACCAGAGAACTTCGCCCGAGAGTGTGTGCATATTTGCAATAAAAGACTGCCACTTTCTTATGTACTTTGGCCTCATGCTTAATTATTTAGCTCTCCTAAATTAAATTAAAACAACTACTCCCATTTATGAGGGCTTCACCCCACCCTCCTGACCTGATCACCTCCCAAAGGCCCCACCTCCTAACACTACCATCACCTGGGGGTTAGGACTTCAACACAGGAATTACACAGGATGGAACCATTCAGACCATGGCAAGTACATAGAATAAAATACACACACAAAGCAAACAGCCAGATAAGATAATTCTGGGGTTTTTTTTGTTTTTTTTTTTTTTGTTTTTTTTTGAGACGGAGTCTCGCTCTGTCGCCCAGGCTGGAGTGCAGTGGCCGGATCTCAGCTCACTGCAAGCTCCGCCTCCCGGGTTCACGCCATTCTCCTGCCTCAGCCTCCCAAGTAGCTGGGACTACAGGCGCCCGCCACCTCACCCGGCTAGTTTTTTGTATTTCTTAATAGAGACGGGGTTTCACCGTGTTAGCCAGGATGGTCTCGATCTCCTGACCTCGTGATCCGCCCGTCTCGGCCTCCCAAAGTGCTGGGATTACAGGCTTGAGCCACCGCGCCCGGCAAGATAATTCTGTTTTTGTTTTGTTTTGTTTTGAGATGGAGTCTTGCTCTATCACCCAGGCTGGAGTGCACTGGTGCCATCTCAGCTCACTGCAACTTCCACCTCCCAGGTTCAGGCGATTCTCCCACCTCAGTCTCCTGAGTAGCTGGGACTACAGGTACGTGCCACCATGCCTGGCTTTTTTTTTTTTTTTTTTTTTTAAAGTAGAGAAAGGGTTTCACCGTGTTAGCCAGGATGGTCTCAATCTCCTGACCTCATGATCCGCATACCTTGGTCTCCAAAAGTGCTCGGAGTACAGGCGTGAGCCACAGCACCCAGCCTTTTTTCTTTTTTCTTTTTTTTTTTTTTCCGAGACAAAGTCTAGCTCTGATTGCCCAGGCTGGAGTGCAATAGCATGATCTCAGCTCACTGCAACCTCCACCTCCCGGGTTCAAGCGATTCTTCTGCCTCTGCCTCCTGAGTAGCTGGGATTACAGGTGCCTGCCACCATGCCCGGATAATTTTTGTATTTTTAGTAGAGACAGGGTTCACCATGTTGGCCAGGCTGGTCTTGAACTCCTGACCTGAGGTAATCCACCCATCTCAGCCTCCCAAAGTGCTGGGATTACAGGCCACAGTGCCCAGCCCAGATAAGATAATTCTTAAACAAAAATGCAGGAGAGAAGGGTAATCCAGTTTACCAAATGGCTCAAAGGTTCTAGATAGCTGGCAAAGTGGAGGTGATTAAAACAGAGGCTCTTTTCCATCAAAATTAGCACAGGACACCCTATTGAAAGGATAGGGTTTTAAGGTACCTCCCATGGTGAGTCATCGTGTTTGTAAATTCTGCCTAAGTCAGTCCAGCCCAACAGAGCGTAATTCTCCTGACTGGTGAGCTCTGTGTTACGCCTCGTCTTCCTTTCTCTAGGAATGTCTGTGTCTGTGTGTGTGTTTGTGGTGTGTGTAGGTTGTATGTGTGGTGTATATGTGTGTTCTCTCAGTGACTGCCCCTCTCGAGTGCACAGTGACCAACACTTCATGAGTCTCCCCAAGGCCTGCACGTGCTCCTACAGGAATGCCAGTGGCTGGGCCTCTCCTGAGAGAGGGGAGAGCCCCCACCTGCCCCAGGCCTGATGGCTTGTGGAGCACCTTGGGCTTTGATAAAGATGCCCCAGTTGTGGATTGACTGAAATCAGTGGATTGACTTCAACAAATTTAGTGGACAAGACACCTTTGCAGAGCCGTGCTTCTCAGATGTTAGTGCCCAAGGGGCTAATCAGGGAGTCTGGATGAGACGTAGGCCTGGGCGGGGTCACAACGATGCTGCATGTCTTTCAACCCCCACCCCATGGTGCCCACACCACGCTGCCACTGCTTGTCTATGTCCACACGCAGAGTGGCAAGTGTATAAAGATGAAAAGCAATGTGTACACGCAGAAAAAATAAAAAGGTGGTGACTAAAACATCCATCATGGCTTTCCCTCAGGACGATGGAATTTTTTTCCTGATGTTTGTCCACAGTGAGCATGTATTGCTTCTGGAACACAAGCGGCACAAGGTACTTGTAGAAATGTCACAAATTACACAGTTCTCGGAGAGAAGGCTGGAATACTTTGCCTTACATCAAGAAAAATTGTTTGGGATGTTTATAATATTAAAGTATGCGTTGGCCAGACGCAGTGGCTCACACCTGTAATCCCAACACGTTGGGAGGCCAAGGTGGGCAGATCACCTGAGGTCAGGAGTTCGAGACCAGTCTGACCAGTATGATGAAACCCCATTTCTACTAAAAATACAAAAATTAGCCGGGCGTGGTGGCGCGCGCCTGTAGTCCCAACTACTCGGGAGGCTGAGACAGGAGAATCCCTTGAACCCGGGAGGCAGAGGCTGCAGTGAACCAAGACCGTGCCAGTGCATTCCAGCCTGGGCAACAAGAGTGAAACTCTGTCTCAAAAAAAAAAGAAAAAGAAACAGAAAAAAAGAAAATACTATAATTACCAAATACCAAAATACCCCATCTCTGAGTTTTGGAAGAAAACTGAATTCTTACATGACTTACTGGGGGGTGGGGCGGCAAATAACAATCAGGTTAGCATAAATGCACCCTTAGTCAACCTACAGGGCCCCCAGGAGACTGGGTCTCAGTGGTCAGGGAAGTTAACTGACAGCACAGAGGGTGAGGGAGATTGAAGGGACTAATTAACTAACAGCTTATGTCTGCACGGTTCACTGAGTGTCACCCACTGGGCTTCTTTACTCCGCTATCCCTGGTCATAGTGGTGTCAGCTTTGCTCCAAATTCTCAGCTGAGGAACCCAGCAAGCTGACCGGATCTGCAGGTGAGGACTTGGCCAGAGACGGGTATTGGTATTTTCACAACCCCAGCTGATTGGATAAGAACGAGGCTGGAAAGCAACAGGAAAGACCCGCCAGCAAGAGGCCACAGGGCAGGCTGGGACAGTAATCTGAACCACTGATGGCTTTCCCACCATTAACAACGATTGTAAATGGGCTTTTTGTTTACTTCGATGGATTATTAACTTTTAGGTAACACTGAGGTTTGATCTTGAAGATGTGGAAACACACCCTTGAAAATTTCATTGCTTTCTAGGATATTGCAATGCTGTTACAAATAAGTGTGAAGAAAACGGCCGGGCGCGGTGGCTCAAGCCTGTAATCCCAGCACTTTGGGAGGCCGAGGCGGGCGGATCACGAGGTCAGGAGATCGAGACCATCCTGGCTAACACGGTGAAACCCCGTCTCTACTAAAAATACAAAAAAAAAAAAAAAAAAAACTAGCCGGGCGCGGTGGCGGGCGCCTGTAGTCCCAGCTACTCGGGAGGCTGAGGCAGGAGAATGGCGTAAACCCGGGAGGCGGAGCTTGCAGTGAGCTGAGATCCGGCCACTGCACTCCAGCCTGGGTGACAGAGCAAGACTCCGTCTCAAAAAAAAAAAAAAAAAAAAAAAAAGTGTGAAGAAAACAAAGAGAAGAAGAAAATTCCAAGATGACACATAATTAAAAACTACCACCTGTGACAAATAAAACATATTTAAGCATGGTATTTGTCAAGAGACTCCTTTTCTTCCTATTGGCACTTGGACTGGAATGAGAAGGAAGGCAATAGGCTTGTTTGTTAAAGCACACAGCTTGCAAACTTTATTAAGATAGTTGTGAAAGCGTATCATTAAAATAAACAGATCACCAGAAAATGTTATCAATAAATAGATTATTTTACCTGAAGAGACTTGTACAAATAAATGTCTTGCATAGATTTCCAACAGCTCAGGATGAACATATGAGAATCCTTCCTTAAGCACAGGTGGATAAAGGTATGCAAAGAATAACAAAAATAACTGTAATACAAGCAGGCTGCATGATCAAAACAGGGAGTGCATTATTTCCTGAGCAATAGTTGCTTTTGAACACAGCTTAGTGCTTCTGCTCTGAAATACAATATCACACCAACAGAGGAAGGAACCCAGCATACTCCTCTTTGCCCCAGCGTCTGTGCTGGAAAAGCAGCACCTGTCCTGGCCCTCTGAGATCCCTCCCACTTCAACCGCAGAAATTCTGGAAGATATCGGCTGCCTCCACCCAGTCCTGGAAGCAGGCCAGCCCCCGCTCCCGGATCTGCTTCCGCCCTTTGTTGGTGATGACCTCCCCATTTTGTTTCACAATCACAAGCTTGGGGATGGCTGTGACGTTGTACCTCTTCCTCAGCTCACTGCAGGAGAGAAGAGTGGTACCGAAGTTAGCACTTCCACATGCACATCTGAAGAGACAGGCCCCCTCCCTCCAACCTGAAGTACAGCCAACTTCGAGGAAGCCACCGGGTGCCCCACCGCGCCTGCTCCTGCTTTCCCTCCTGCTGGGGTGTGGGCTCCTTTCTTCTTGGTGCTACTATTTCTTTTTCTTTTTTTGAGACGGAGTTTCGCTCTTGTTGCCCAGGCTAGAGTGCAATGGTGTGATCTCAGCTCACTGCAACCTCCACCTCCCACATTCAAGCGATTCTCCTGCCTCAGCCTCCCAAGTAGCTGGGATTATAGGTGTGTGCCACCACGTCCAGCTAATTTTTTGTATTTTTAGTAGAGACGGGGTTTCACCATGTTGGCCAGGCTGGTCTGGAACTCCGGGCCTCAGGTGATCTGCCTGCCTTGGCCTCCCAAAGTGCTGGGATTACAGGCATGAGCCACCACACCCAGACTTGGTGCTACCATTTCTAACCCAGTTCCACCCCAGGGAGCTGCCTGCAGCAGTGAACTCTCCATATCTGTGCTACCCAATCCGGTGGCCACCCGCCACATATGGCTGGGAGAGCTCAGAATGTGGCTAGTGTGCCCGAGGAACTGAAGATTTCATTTTTAATTTTAATTAATTTTTACTTTAAATTTAAATTGTCACAAGTGGCTAGTGGCTACCAGATTGGATAGTGCAGGTCTGAACCCACAAATAAACCCAGTAATTTTTTATGTCC